GGGTAGATACTCAGTAATGAGATTGCTGGGTCAAATGGTAGCTCTCTTTTAGGTTCTTTGAGAACTCTCCAAACTGCTTTCCACAATGGGAAAACTAATTTACATTTCCACCAATGCTGTATAAGCCTTCCCTTTCCCTCACAGCCTTCCCAGCATGTGTTGTTTTTTGACTTTTTAATAGTAGTTATTCCAACTAATCTGAGATAATATCTGATTGTGATTTTGATTTGTAATTCTCTTGTAACTACTGATTGAGCATTTTTCATGTTTATTGGTCAGCATTTGTATATCTTTTTTTTTTTTTTTTTTTCCTCTCAGCAATAAACAGATTATGTATCTTCTTTTAAGAAGTGTATTTTCAGGTCCTTTGTCCATTTTTTAATGGAGTCATTTGTGTTTTGCTTGTTGCTTTGTTAAGTTCCTTATAGATGCTGGATATTAGACCTTTGTCAGACGCATAGTTCATGAATAATTTATCCCATTTTGTAACTTGTCTGTTTACTCTGTGGATAGTTTTTGTTTGTTTATTTTGCTGTGCTGATCTCTGTAGTTTAATTGGGTCTCACTTTTAAATTTTCATTTTGTCCCAATTGCATTTAGAGACATAGCCAAAAAAATTGTTTGCCAAAACCAATGTCAAGAAGGGTATTTTCTAAGTTTTCTTTTTTTTTATAGTTTGACATCTCATATTTAAATCTTTAGTCTATCTTGAGCTAATTTTTATAGATGGTGGAAGGTAAGGATCCAGTTTCATTCTTCTGTGTATGGCTGGCAAGTTTTCCACCAGCACCATTAGTTAAATAGGTCTTTCTGCATTTTGTTTTTATCAGCCTTGTTGAAGATTAGACAGTTGTAGCTCTGTGGCTTTATTTCTCAGTTTTCTGTATGCTCAGTTGGTCTCTGTTTCTGTTTTGTACCAGTACCATGGTGTTCTGGTTACTGTATGTAGCCTTATAATATAGTTTGAAGTCAAGTAGTATTTTTCAAAATAATTTTTCTATTGAGGTTCCTTAAGATGAATTTTTAAATTTCACTACAGCTGCTGTTGGTATTTTGATGAGGTTACACGAATCTGTGGATCACTTTTATTAATATCGACTTGACATTGTTGTAACAGTTTTAATTTTCCAAAATATAAATCCTTATCTTGGTCACCTTAGAGAAAAACCTATCAGTCCTTCCTAGGTACGATGTTAAGTTGAGGATTTTTCATATATGGCCTTTATTATGTTGAAGATCTTTCCATTTGTGCCTAGTTTGTAGAATGTTTTTACCTTATATAAGGATTTGAATTTTGTGAAATTACATTTCTTATATTTCATCATAATATTTGCATTACCATTTATAAGATATATTCGTTTCTAATTTTGTTACGTGTCTGTCTAGGGTCTTTGGATAAATCTAGGCTCATATAATGATAATTGAAACTTTTGATAATTGGAATTTTCTAGAAGCATTAGTATTAGGTAAAATAGAGACCAGTATTTTAGACCATCTCTAGATGAGTTAGAATATTACAGATAAGGTTTTCTCTGTGCTCTCTCTCTTTTGAGGGAACAAATTAGGAATGAAATTGATGCCTCTTCCAGGCAAGGACAAGTAAAAAACAGCATAGTGTTTTCTATTGTTTTAAGTATGGCTTTTTCTGAGTTGTTTAATTGGATGCTATAGGTCTGTGATTGTTTTCCACAGATTGTATCATGTTGTGTTAGGTACTTTAAAATTTTTTTACATAAGGAAGTTTGAGGGCCTGCAGCTTCCTCATTCACCATTTGGACTGATGTCACCTGCCTTTTATTTGTTTTTATACTGCTTTATCAAGATCATTATATAATATACAATTCACACATATGAAGTTTACAGTTCAGTGGGTTTTAGTGTATTTCCTAGGTATACAACCATTATCATAATATTTTCTTATTGCCTAGTGAAAGCTGAGACCCATCCAGTCACATTTTCCCAACTCCAGGAATTCAAGCAGCCATTGTATCTGTAGATCTACCTATGTTGCATTTGCTTATGCGTGTGTGTGGGGGGTGTGGGGGGGATGGTATGTCTTTTGTGACTGGTCTCTATTTCGTAGCATAATATTTACAAGATCTATTCATTTACAGCATGTGTCACTACATCATTTCTTTTTTAATGACAATAGTACACTGCCTGGATATACATCTTTTTTTGGTGAAGGGGAGCTATCGGTTTATGAACATTGGATTGTTGCTGTTCTGCCTCATGGCTATTCTGTGTAATGCTATTATATGTAATGCTATTATGAATACTCATAAGCAGTATTTCTGTGGAGGGAGAAATGTATTGTCCCTTGGGTAGATGCTAGATCATGAGGTGTAATAACACATTATTTATTCTGATATTTCTTGTTGTTTTGTTTTGAGACATAGTCTCACTCTGCCACCAGGCTGGAGTACAGTGGTGCCATCTCTCCTTACTGCAATCTCTGCCTCCTAGATTCAAGTGATTCTCCTGTGTTAGCCTCCAAGCAGCAGGGATTACAGGCTTATGTCACCACACTCACCTTTTTGTATTTTTAGTAGAGACGGATTTTCACCATGTTGGGCAGGATGGTCTTGATCTCCTGACCTTGTGATCCACCTGCTTTGGCCTCCCAAAGTGCCAGGATTACAGGCATAAGACACTGCAGCTGACCCCTTTGTTTTATACTGACAGCCTCACTTTGTTGCCTGGGCTAGAATGCAGTGTCACAGTCTTGGCTTACTGCAACGTCTACCTCCTGGGTTCAAGCAGTTCTCCTGCCTCAGCTTCCCAAATAGCTGGGACTATAGGAATGCATCACCACACCTGGCTAATTTTTGTGTTTTTAGTAGAGACAGGGTTTTGCCATGTTGCCCGGGCTGGTCTCAAACTAGTGACCTCAAGCCATCTGGCTTGGCCTCCCAAAATGCTGGGATTACAGTTGTGAGCCACTGGACCTGGCCTTGTTGTTTATTCTGTTAAGGAACTACCACATTACTTTTCAAATGGTTGCATCATTTTACATTTTCCTTTATTATTATTTTTTTTTTTTGAGACTGAGTCTCACTCTGTTTACTGTTTATGCTGGAGTGCAATGGCAATAGCTCAGATCACTGCAACCTCTGCCTCCTGGGTTCAGCAGACTTTCTCCTGCCTCAGCCACCCAAGTATCTGGGATTTTAGGCACACACTGTTATGCCTGGCTAATTTAATTTTAGTTTATTTTTACTGGGTTTCATCGTATTGACCATGCTTGTTTTGAACTACTGGCCTCAAGCGATCCACCTGCCTTAGCCTCCCAAAGGGCTGTGATTACAAGCATGAGCCACTGTGCCCAGCTTACATTTTAATTATTAATTTATAAGTTTCCAATACCTATATACAATGTCCTTTTGATTCTAACCATACTATTGGTTGTGAATTAATATTTCATTTTGTCTTTTCCTAAATGGCTATTTGCTAAACATCTAAACATATTGTTAATGGAAATATTTGCTTTGGTGAAATGCATGTTTATTTCCTTTGCCCATTGTTTAATTGGGCCATTTTTATTATTGAGCTATAAATGATATGCAGGTATATTGTTAAAAATTCCTTCACAAGTATTATATGTGCCAGTGCATTTTTCTGTTCTGTAAGTTGTCTTTTAACTTTTGTTAGTAGTCTTTAAAGCGCAAAAATTTTAATTTTGATTCAGTTTAATTATTTGCATTTCTCGGATTTAATTTGTTGTCATTGCTAAGAAACTATTGCCTAACCTGTAGTCACACAGATTTACTTCTGTATTTTTTTTTTGTATGAGAGTTTTACCTGGTGTCCCTTATATTTAGGTCACATTCATTTCAAGTTAATTTTTCTTCACATTATGAGATAAGGGCCCAACTTTATTCTTTTACATCTGCATTTCCAGTCGCCCGAGAAGTATTTTCTTGTTGTATATTCTTGATACATTTCTCAAGAGAATAACAAACGTTTTTTATATTCAACATTTATTAAAAATGGGAAAATATTTTATTATTTATACAGAATTCATTGCAATGAAAATTTGCCCGTGAAGAACTTCGTCCATATGCCCTTAGCTTTGTTAATGTGGTTTATTGCAAAGAAAGTCAGGGTAATTAAATACGATACTATAATCAGAAATAGAGGGTCTTAACTCATCTCACTTTATATGTATTTGTTTTTGTATGCAAACAAATAATGTGCCATTGTTTTGCTACTTGGCAGTTATAATTAACATTTATAGTTATACCCCTTAGTAATCTTGCTTCAAATTTTTCTTCATTATCTTGTCTGGCCAAAGTATAGGAGTCAACACATTCTTTCTCATAAAACAATATCCACAGGGAAAAAAACAAAACAATGCTCTTGCTTATTAAAAAAGGGAATTGGGGAAGGCTGAGACAAGAGACTGCTTGAACCCATGAGGTGGAGGTTGCAGTGAACTGAGATTGCACCATCACACTCTAGCCTGGGCAACAAGAGTGAAGTTCTGTCTCAAAAAAAAGGAAAAAAACAAAAAAAACCCAGAGAATCTGTCTTTTTATTAGGTGCTTTCTTACATCTTTTTAATTTTTTTTTTAAAAAAGTAAGTTTTTGCGTAGTGTCTTTATTTTCATTTTTAGTTCTCTCTCAAATTCTCTTGATGCCATTTTAAATGAAATCATTTACCATTTCAAAAATTGGTAGGTCCAAAGTAAAATTTGAATGATTACATGCTTTTCCTATAAATTAGTGTAATAACTGAATTTCTTACTAATTTTGTAGATAATGGAGGATGTTAAATTCCATGTACTGGGCTTTGACTTTTCCTGGGACTTTATTTAATGTGATTGTAGAAGATATTTTCTGTGAAATGTATCTGTAGAAACTTATTTCTCAAAAATAGTACTGCTCATGTAGATGAATATTTTGATAATTTGTATGATAGAAGTGGTAGTAGCCTATTAGAGGATACTAAGTATGAAAATATATATATATATATATATAATTTTTTTTTTAACATGTAGGAAGAAAATGAGAAAAGAACACAACACAAAGATCATTCAGATAATGAATCCACATCTTCAGAGAAGTAAGTAACTTTTAGCATCCACTCAATAATTCTGTGTAAAATACATGAATTTAATGTTCCCTCTTTTTTTTTTTTTTTTTTTTTTTTTTTTAAGTTCTGGAAGGAGAAAGAAAGGACCTTTTAAAACTATTAAATTTGGGACAAACATTGACCTTTCTGATAACAAAAAGTAAGTCCCCCTGGCCTGGTACTATTTCCATGAACTGAAGCAATGAGAGTATTTCAGGATTGGGAATTACCTAGTTGTCTATTTTTTTAATATTCCTAATCATTATTAGCTCTTTTCCTTGTTTTTTTTTTTGTTTGTTTTTTGTTTTTTGTTTTTTTTTATGTTGACATGCTGGTTTTACTTAATAAATCTGCAATTCTGAAATAATTTGACAAGTTTGTACAATTAGAAACTTATTTTTCTTAAAATCAAAGTACCTACTTTATTAATACAGATTTATAAATAGAAAGTAAATTGTTTCTTTTATTTACTAGGTTATACGTTTTATTAATTTTTTTAGTAACCTGTTTGTCTTAGGACTTATTTTTGGAATAAGTTAAAGAGTTTAATTCTACTGACTGTACAGGTAATATATTTATAGGTTTAAGTATTTTTCTGATTGATTCACAGTGTTTTTGAGGATATATAGTAGTTCTCATGAGTTTTTGCAGCAGAGTTTTTACTCTTAATCTGCTATTTTATTGCAGGTGGAAGTTGCAGTTACATGAGCTGACTAAACTTCCTGCCTTTGTGCGTGTGGTGTCAGCAGGAAATCTTCTAAGCCACGTTGGGCATACCATTCTGGGCATGAATACAGTACAACTATATATGAAAGTTCCAGGGAGTCGAACGCCAGGTGATTTAAAAGACTAACATAACTTATGTGATGGAAAAAAATTGAGTTTATCATGTGAAACAAGCAGAGAGAACACATTTCATTTACACCTCTAAAATTAAAATGATTTTTAGTTAATAAATTAATTTTGAGACATACTCTTCTCTCTGTCACCAGGCTAGACTGCAGTTGCGCTATATGAGCTCACTTCAAACCTCTGCCTCCCATGTTCAAGCAATTCTCCTGCCTCAGCGCCCCCCATGTAGCTGTGATTACAGGCTCCTGCCACCACACCCAGCTAATTTTGTATTTTTAGTCAAACAAGGTTTCACCATGTTGGCCAGGTTGGTCTCAATCTCCTAATTCCGTGATCCACCCACCTCATCCTCCCAAAGTGCTGGGATTATAGATGTGAGCACTGTGCGTGGCCTAAAATTTTTTCTTATAGATAAAAATGTTCATATTACTCTTAGAATTGAGCTGAGAGTAAACAGTATGGTCTAATCCTGAATTCATATAAAAATATCAGAACAATGTGAACTGGGAAAGGGGCCCTAAGGTACTTAGTAAGTGGTAAGAATGACACCAGGTTAACAATGATTTTCAAAGGTTTTAACCACAATTGCAATAAGAATGATATATTATGAACCAGTTTACTGAAGTTATATATAGTAAAAATTTCGCTTACAATACTTGAAATATGTGATGCCCTTTTCCTGTATTTTTTTTTAAATGTAATCTAAAAATTTTCTAATTTAAGCAAACATTGTTTAAAGGGCTACATAGTAAATATTTTAAACTTTCAAGCTGAGAGATTCAATCAACATTTTATAGGTATTCTATATAGACAAAAAACCTATTTTTGAGGGATTTTTATTGATGAAAATCAAAATAACAAATGAGTGAATTTATTTACTAGTTAAAAGAATGGAATTATCTTGGAGGAAACAATATTTCACTTCATTAGGCTCAAATACAATGTTGTTGTGTTATCTAGATTAACTACAAATTTACATCTGTTAAAGTTGTTCTGTGGTAGTGAGATCTTCAAAAATGTCTTTTCAAGTGGATCAGTACTACTGTATACTGATGTCAATCTTTGAGCATATTTTCTTGAGCATGTTAATTGCCTTAAAGACATTTAGAGAGTTGCTAGATTTTTTTTTCCCCCCTTTTGGGTTATTTTCTTTTTAGATTTCATTAAACTGCAGATTTATTTTCTCCAGTTGAAGGTCAATTGTACCTACAGTTGGAAAACCTCACCGTAGTACAAATGGCTTTTGAAATACACGTATTGGCTGGGCATAGTGGCTCACGTCTGTAATCCCAGCACTTTGGGAAGCAAAGGCGGGTAGATCATGAGGTCAAGAAATCAAGCTCATCCTGGCCAATATGGTGAAACCCCATCTCTACTAAAAATACAAAAATTAGTTGGGCATGGTGGTGCACACCTGTAGTCCCAGCTACTCAGGTGGCTGAGGCAGGAGAATCACTGGAACCCAAGACACAGATGTTGCAGTGATCTGAGATTGTGCCACTGCACTCCAGCCTGGCAACAGAATGAGAGTCAGTCTGAAAGAAAGAAGGAAGAAAGGAGGGAAGAAAACAGGGAAGAAAGAAAGAAAGAAAAGAAAGAGAGAAAAAGAAATATGCAAATTTTCCTGCACTTTCATTGAGGTTTGGAAAATGCTGCTGAAATTCTGTTTTGAACTTAAGGAAGTATATGTTGCAAATGTCTGATACTGGAGATGTGGCTGCTTCTTTGTTTTTATCAGCCTTTTACATAGTGTATAAAAGCAGCTTGATATTATTTGCAATTCAAAAATTTTTTTCTGTCTTCAGAATGACATTGTTCTAAAAGTTTCACATGTAAGTTCTCTTTGCCTTGTAATTTTTAGGTTGAATTTATCAAGAAATGTTTGGAAGCCTGCCGCAAAGTTTCCATGGCCAATAAGTGGTCAGTAGCAGTGACTGATGGTGGTACTTCTTCAGAAAAATTTCCACCTCAACTCTGAGTGCTAAAAATAGCAGTACAACTTCATCACTGCTAAATCATTGACCTGCTTTTTTTCTTTTTTTTAAGACAGATGAGGATATTCAATCTCTGTTTCTGACAGAATTTCATGGAACTTAGGTTTAGTAGGTCGATAAGACTGGCATATGATAAGATATTTTTCACAAATCTGCCAATGAATAATACAGTGCAAGTGAAATAATTAGATATTAAGCACCTTACATTTTCACAGTGAAAATGAAATAAATCACATGAAATGAAAAACCTTTTTCTTTTAAAATCTAGCAGTGATAAAAACAAACTTTTAATAGATTGTTTCCTTGTCAAACCTTTAATAGATTATTTCTAAAATGTTTGGGTTTTTTTGTTTCTTTGTATAACATTAGTACTTCCACAGCGTCCTGTGGAACTGTTAAGGAATTCCTTAGACGAAATGTAGTATTGTTTTAGTTTACCAAATATAATTTAAAGAAACATTGTGTTGAAATTTTGTATATGTAGATTTTGTTCACCTATTACATAGAAATGATGCCTGCTGTAATACAGTTCACATTCTGACATGATCTTTAATGTGTTCTAAAATGTTAGGATTGCTGAGAGACCATAAGCCAACATTGTACATATGGTATGTAATGTAAATGTTTCTAACTCTTTCACCTTGGGTAGGTTGATGGTGTCCCAGCGTTTGTAATTTTTATTTTTAAATGCCCTTCCCATGGGTAGTGCCATCCACCTACGCGTTGTGAAGATTTATGGTCTTTTACATTACGTAGTAAAATTTGACATGTGGTAGGAGATAAGAATGCTGGAGACAGGTTACATTTTTAAAACTATACCTCTTTTAATAAGATTTTTGATACTGTTTGTGAGAATTAATATGTAGTTTATAGAGAAGAAAATAGTAATAATTACTATAGCTAATGTTTATTCCATATTATGTTCTGTTAACAGTTGTAAGCATTTATTTTTTACTCACTCCTAAAAACTACCCAGTGATTTAAAGGCACATTTCTCCATTTAATTTTAGCTGCAATTGTGACTTTCCTTTTACTTTCAGGCCACCAAGAAAATAACAACTTCTGCTCTGTTAACATAAATATTGGTCCAGGAGATTGTGAATGGTTTGTTGTACCTGAAGATTACTGGGGTGTTCTGAATGACTTCTGTGAAAAGTAGGTTTCTGAACTAAACTTTCATGTAACATAATTCTGGGAAAAGAGTTCATCGTAAAGGAGAAACTGCAAAGCCAAGTTTCTTGATGCAACTGTCAGGTTTTACTTTCTGCTTAGCAGATTTTTTTTTTTTTTCTTTAAGACAGGGTTTCACCATGTTGGTCAGGCTGGTCTTGAACTCCCGACCTCAGGTGATCGGCCTGCCTTGGCCTCCAAAGTGCTTGGATTACAGGCGTGAGCCTCCATGCCTGGCCAAAATTTTTTTTATAAATGATTTGATTTTATATCTTTTATGTTATCTGAAATACTTAAAAGATGCCATGAGGCCAAGCACAGTGTCTCAGCACTTGGGGATGCGGAGGCAGATGGATGTCTTGATCCAGAAGACCAGCCTAAGCAACATGGTGAAACCACAACAATTAGCCTGAACTTATAGTTCTTGATACTTGGGATGTTGAGGCTGAAGTGAGCCATAATCATGCCACAGCATGATTGAGACAAAGTGAGACTCTGTCTCAAAACAAACAAACAAACAAAAAACAGAAAGTGCCATGAACTAGTCTCTGCAGTGGTAATAGGTGTGAGTGGAAAAGATGGTAAATTAATTTTTTTTATGTTAATGTTAAAAATTTACGTGTCTTTTCATATTTGACAAGTGTGCTTTAAACAAAAGCTTTATTTACAATTGTCTTTAGAAATGACAAAAATTATAAAATAAAGCATCCTTGTAGCTTAATAACTCAATTTTATGTCTTTGTAATTCAGCCTAAAACTATCGATAACGAAGGAATCACATGATTTGTTTTCTTAAAGTTGGTAAAGATTTTAGTGGGCAAATACAGACATAATTAAAATTGTATTAGGTACTTAAAACCATCTTGGCTCACCATAACCTCCATCTCCTAGGTTCAAGTGATTCTCTTGCATCAGCCTCTGGAGTAGCTGGGAGTGGCAGGCACCACCATGCCCGGCTAATTTTTTTGGAATTTTAGTAGAGATGAGGTTTCTCCATGTTGTAATCCCCGCACTTTGGGAAGCCAGGCAGATGACCTGAGGTCGGAAGTTCAAGTTAATCTTGAACTCCCGACCTGAGATCATCTGCCTGGCTTCCCAAAGTGCGGGGATTACAGGCATGAACCACCATACCTGGCCTTTGTTTTTTTTTTTTNTTTTTTTTTTTTTTTTCCTTAATAAAAAACTTTCTCTAGTTTTATATGGGTAGTATAGGCGGAGGTAAGGTAAGATTTGTGCTATGCTTATAATTTTTTCCCTTTCTTTTTTAACTTTGCTTCCTGTTTATTGGCAAATTTTGTAAGTTTATGGAAAACAGATTAGGCACAGTGGCTCACACCTATAATCCCAACACTTGGGAAGGCCAAGGAGGGCTGAACACTTGAGGTCAGGAGTTCAAGACCAGCCTGGCCAACATGGTGAAACCCCATCTCTACAAAAATTAACGAGTCATGGTGGTGTATAGTTGTAGTCGCAGCTATTTGGGAGGCTGAGGCAGAAGAATTGCTAGAACCCAGGAAGCAGAGGTTGCAGTGAACTGAAATTGCACCATTGCACTCCAGCCTGAGCAACAGAGCAAGACTCTGTCTCCACAGAAGGGGGAAAAAAAAAAAAACAGTTATGGAAAACATATAATTTTTTTATTCCTTGAATTGCTAACCTCTACTAAAGTTAAAATCAGTTTTAGGACAATAAAATAAATGAGACTAAAATTCCATATAGACAACTTGAGATTTTTTAATTATTTTGTTTTGTTTTATTTTTTGAGACAGTCTCACCCCTGTTTTCCAGGCTGGACCATAGGGGCACAATCAGATCACTTCTACGTGATTCTCCTGCCTCAGTCTCCTGAGAGTAGCTGGAACCATAGGCCCCTGTCACCACATGTGGCTATTTTTTTTTTTTCTAGTAGAAACAGGGTTCACCATGTTGACCAGGCCGATGTCAAACACATGACCTCAGGTGATCCACTCACCCCAGCCTCCCAAAGTGTTGGGATTACAGGCGTGAGCCACTGAACCCAGCCATTTTTTTTTTTTTTAAGACAAAATAGAAACAAAGCAAAAGCTAGTTATAAAATCTGAAACATTTTCAACTCTGTGAATTTCTTCCTCTTAAGAAAACTTAATTTGAAATAAAGTATTTGAGTAAATATTTAACAGAAAACTTAATATAGTTACTGTGTAGTACATAACAATTGTGAAATAAACTTTTTTTTTCTTGAGATGGAGTCTTGCTCTGTCCCCTAGGCTGGAGTGCATTGGCACAGTCTTAAGCTCACTGCAATCTCCACCTCCCAAGTTCAGGAAATTCTCCTGCCTCATCCATCTTAGTAGTTGGGGTTACAGGCACGCAACACCACACTCAGCTAATTTTTGTATTTTCAGTAGAGCCAGGGTTTCACCATGTTGGCCTGGCTGGTCTCAAACTCCTGACCTCAGGTGATCCTCCTGCCTTAGCTAGGATTACAGGTGCAAGCCACCACACTCAGGCAACAATATGGAAAATTCGATGGAGAGTAACCAAATGAGACTGTTTTAAAACTTCATCATTTTGTCTGTTTGTATTGGTACCAGTGATGGTGGTGGTTCATATATTTGTATATGGGTTCTTCTGGTAGTTTTTTCAGCTGCCTTAAGTCAACTCATTCCTAAAAGCATATGCAAATTATACATTCTGTCTTCACTCCCCTTTCCTGCCTAGGATTCAGTACAGCAGTAGAGGATGATATCTGCTCTCCTCCTCCCCCCCAACATAGGAATTGAGAGAAGGTCCTGGTGCTTTTATCTGTCACAGTGATTATGATTAAGATTTTAAATGACTTATGATTTCTAGCCAGAGTTTTCTTTTAGAGATTTCTAGGTATCAAGACGGTTTTTAGTAAATAAAAAGGTAGAGTCAAAATATTTCTTATTGAAACAAAATTTAAAATCAGTGTCTTTCACTGTAATAAGAAACTTAAATATTAATTTACAGACTTTTGAACAGCAGCAGTTTAAGCTTATAGTAACTGAGCTTTGGATATGTCTGTCTGTATTCACCTGCAGTTCATTTTTCTCAGGACTGGCCCAAGACTTTAATTGCAAATGAAAGAGGCATTTCTTGTTGCAATGCTTTTATCATGAAAAGTTGGGTTTTTTGTTTTGTTTTGTTTTTGCAGTGGAGTGTCACTCTGTTGCCCAGGATGGAGTGCAATAGTACAATTTTGGCTCACTGCAACCTCCGCCTCCCCAGTTCAAGTGCTTCTCATGCCTCAGTTGCTGTGATTACAGGCACATGTCACAATGTTTTTCTTTTTTTCTTTTTTAAACTAGTAGAGACGTCCTTTCATCATATTGGCCAGCCTGGTCTTGAACTCCTAACCTCAAACGACCTGCCTGCCACAGCCTCCCAAAGTGCTGGGATTACAGGCCTGATAACACTGTGTCCAGCTCTATGATACAGACTGTTAATGGAATAAATACTGAGAGTGTGTGTTTTTTTTTTTAAATTGCATTTTAGGTTTTGGGGTACCTGTGAAGAACATGCAGTTGTTGCATAGGTACACACATGGCACTGTGATTTGCTGCCTTACTCCCCTTCACCTATATCTGGCATTTCTCCCCATGCTATCTCTCCCCAACTCCCCACCCACCGCTGTCCCTCCCCCGTTTCCCCCCAACAGACCCCAGTGTGTGGTGCTCCCCTCCCTGTGTCCATGTGTTCTCATTGTTCAACACCGCGTATGAGTGAGAACATGCGGTGTTTGATGTTCTGTTCTTGTGTCAGTTTGCTGAGAATGATGGTTTCCAGGTTCATCCATGTTCCTACAAAGGACATCAACTCATCCTTTTTGATGCCTGCATAATATTCCATGGTGTATATGTGCCACATTTTCCCTGTCCAGTCTATCATCAATGGGCATTTGGGTTGGTTCCAGGTCTTTGCTGTTGTAAACAGTGCTGCAACGAACATTTATGTGCATGTGCCCTTGTAGTAGAACGATTTGTAATCCTTTGGATATATACCCAGTAATGGCATTGCTGGGTCGAATGGAATTTCTATTTCTAGGTCCTTGAGGAATCTCCACACTGTCTTCCACAATGGTTGAACTAGAGAGCATTTTTTTTTTTAGCTCTTGAGGAGACATTTTTCAACTTGATTTTCATTATTTTCTTTATCAGGAACAATTTGAATTTTTTAATGAGTTCTTGGTGGCCCAACCTTGAAGATCTTTATGAAGCAAATGTTCCTGTGTATAGATTTATTCAGCGACCCGGAGATTTGGTCTGGATAAATGCAGGCACTGTGCATTGGGTTCAAGCTGTTGGGTGGTGCAACAACATTGCCTGGAATGTTGGTCCACTTACAGGTATTTTGAATAATAAACTAACAAAGTTTATGTTATAAAGGATTACCTAATAGGTATTGTTTTACTAGTTGAAAATAACTCACTAAAAATAGAGTGTCTCTTGTGGAAAAAAAAACCCCAATTTTTAATACAGAGTTAAATTCAGCTTTAAAAATGGCAATGTAAGAACACAGATTTTATTAAACAATTATAGAAACACAAGATACACTTTTGGGATATTTTAGAGTGCTAGATTTTGTTTTTATAAAGGAAGCCCTTTATTAAGGGATAAAGCATTGCAGTTGATCATTAGAAATTTCTGTTCATGTGGTATATCATATGTGCAGTCCTAGAATGTAATAGGATTTAATATACGTAAATAAAGAATCTGGCCTTAAGACCTAGAAAGACCTGAGATAGACCATGTCTCCACATTGTTAACTCTATGACTTTAGGTTAAGTTTTTTGTGTGGTTTTTTTTTTAAAAAAAAAAAAAACTCTCAGGCCCTCACTTATTTCTTCTACCAAATAGCATTAGAAAATCAAGAAGGCCTTGAAAGGCTAAAATGAGATAATATGTAAAAAGAACCTAGCACAGTGTCTTACATATTGTGAGTGCTCTTTACATTAGATTTTTTTTAACCAAAGTTATTCAGACACAGAGTAGTCTTACAGTGTTTCAAGGTTTTCAGTAATGATACTGATATTGAAGCTATCACATATCATAATGGTTATGTCCATATGTATCATTTTTATGCTGTTGCTTTTTTCCTCCTAGCCTGCCAGTATAAATTGGCAGTGGAACGGTACGAATGGAACAAATTCCAAAGTGTGAAGTCGCTAGTACCCATGGTGCATCTTTCCTGGAACATGGCACGAAATATCAAAGTCTCAGATCCAAAACTTTTTGAAATGATTAAGTAAGTGCTTTCTAAAACTGCTGTAGTTTCTCTTTGGGGGTATTGGTAACCATTCAGTACTTTTTTTCCAAAGAATTATGTTGACCTCAAATGATGTCAACAGTCTAGAAGTCTTGGCAAAATGTAATAAGATACAAATAATCTTATATATTTATAAGTGTTATAAAATCTCATAAGATTAAAATATTTTCTTCCTTTACAAATAATCACCCACGTTTATTATGACTTGGAGAGGTGTAAAGGTAAATATGAATAGACACTGGTAAATTTATAAATCTATTTTCTCCTAACTCAGATAAAACTAATTTCCCAGGACAACTTGTTTTATTTACTATTTAAAAATAATTTTTGTTGTGTATTTTTTACTTTTTTATGATTAATGTATAGTTGGCGTGAAAAATTGTATGCATTTGAGATATAGAGCCTGATGATTTGGTAAACACATATATGAATATGAATGTACTAGCACCTCTCTTTTGTTTCTCTTGCCATATGATCTCTGTATGTACCAGTTCGCCTTCCCCTTCCCAGAAGCAACTGCTGGTGCCATACTTCTTTTATAGCCTGTAGAACTATGAGCCATATAAACCCCTCTCCTTTATAAATTACTTCCTCGGGCATTCTTTTATGGCTCACACCTGTAATCCCAACACTTTGGGAGGCTAAGGTGGACAGATCACAGGGTCAAGAGATCCAGACCATCCTGGCCAGCATGGCGAAACCCCATCTAAATGAACTGAGACAAAAAAATAAGTATTTAGGAGTGGGATACCACTTTTTGCCAAAAGATACTGGAAAATTTGGAAGCAGATTTGGAACTATTAGGCAGAGGTTCAAATTGCTGAAGGAGTAGGCTAGGCAAGGGTTGTATTATAATGAATGGGTGATTCTGATGAGGGCTCAGAAGGAAGACAGGAAGACAAAGAAAAGTTAGGGACTTCTTAGAAATTGGTAAACTGTTTCTGGCCAAAATGCTGATACAGACAGTAAAAGACTTCCAGATGAGATCTCAGATGGAAATGATGAGCTTACTGGGAACTAGAACAAAAGCCTACCTTGTTACCCTATAAGCAGAGGACCTGGCTGTGTTGTTTCCATTGCCCTAGGGTTTGGTGGGATGCTGAACTTAAGGATGATGACCTATGGGCAGGGCACGGTGGCTTGCACCTATAATCTCAGCACTTTGGGAGGCCAAGACTGGCAGATCATAGGGTCAAGAGATCGAGATCATCCTGGCCAACATGGTAAAACCCCATCTCTACTAAAACACACAAAAAATTAGCTGAGGGTGGTGGTGGGTGCCTTAGTCCCAGCTTCTTGGGAGGCTGAGGCAGGAGAATCACTTGAACCCAGGGGGCAGAGATTGCAATAAGCCAAGATCATGTCACTGCACTCCAGACTGGCCACAGAGTGAGACTCTGTCTCAAGGAAAAAAAAAAAAAAGTTATGACCAAGGGTACGTGGCAGAAAAAATTTCTAAAAAGCAAACTTTCAATAAGTGATGTAGCTACTTTTAGCAGCTTATGATCTAAAATTTGGAATATTGTAAAATGTGGAAAGGAAATATAATAGGAAAGAGCATTTTCAGGAAAGAAATCCAACGGTGCTACAGAGCAATAACTTGTTAGAGAGATTAGAGGGCCAGGTGCTAATCTTCAAGACCATTGCAAAAAGTCCTTAAAAATTTTTCAGGTATATTGAAGGCTTCCGCTCCCCTCAGAAGCCTAGCTACTTGGGAGAGTAGAAAGGTTTGAAAAGTAGGAAGGGACAGGCCTAGGGCACTGCCATTCCACCCATCCTCCATCACTCTAGAAAACTTAAATGTTAACCCTTGGTGATTTCCACATGGTGTTAAGTCACAACACCCATGGAGGCTTGACAGCTTCTACCTAGATTTCAGAGGATATATTAGAAATGTGGATGCCCACACAGAAGTCTGCCACAGGGAGAGAACCTTCACAGACCTCTAGTAGAACAGTGCGTAATGTGGAGGTGTGAGACTAGGGCCACAGCTCTGCAGACATTAAGGTTGCTAGTGCCAGTGGCAGTATGGAAGTCCAGGTTGGAAGAACTGCAATAATTCAACTTAAACACATGAGAACAGTCACATGGCCTGTGCCCAGTAAAGCCAAGTGGTTGGAGTGGCTTAAGGCCTTGGAAACACACTGCTCACACCAATATGTCCAAGATATGGGAATGGAGTCAAGAAAGATTACTTTGAAGCTTGAAGACTTAATATGTTCCCTGCTAGTTTTCAGGCTTGTATAGGGGCTTACTCCCTTCCTGGCTTGATTTATCCTTTTCAGAAAAGGATTGTTACCCTATATCTGTTCCACCATTATATCTTGGAAGTGAATAACTTGTTTGTTTTTTGTTTTTGAGACGGAGTCTTGCTCTATCGCCAGGTTGGCGTGCAGTGGTGCAATCTTGGATCACTGCAACCTCTGCCTCCTGGGTTCAAGCGATTCTTCCACCTCAGCCTCTTGAGTAGTAGGGACCCCAGGCATGTGCCACCATGCCCGGCTATTTTTTGTATTTTTAGTAGAGGCAGGGTTTCACCATGTTAGCCGGATGGTGTTGATCACCTGACCTCGTGATCTGCCCGCCTCGGATTCCCAGAGTGCTGGGATTACAGGCATGAGCCACTGTGCCCGGCCTACTTCTTTTTTATTTTACAAGCTTATAGTTATCATCATCTTGTATGTTACATCCCCAGAACCTACTCTTTGCGTAACTGAAACATGTACCTCTTGACCAGCATCTTGCCATATTTCCCTCCATGCCACCATGATTGAACATTATGCTCATGTGAGTTTGATGTTTTTAGATTGTACATGTATAAGTGAGATAATGCAGTGTTTGTCTTTCCGAATCTTATTTCATTTAGCCTGAAGTAAGCAGTGTTTTTTTCTCTGTTCTTCTAGTACTTTTTTGGTTTGAGTCTTGGACTTGAAGCCATTTTGAGATGATTTTTGTGTATAAGATGAGATGATAGTTGAGTTTTTTAATTCTGTATCAAAGAATGCAGTTTTTCCAATGTTGTTGATTGAAGACACTTTTCTTTCCCCATGTTTATTCTTGATACGCTTGTCAGAGAACAGTTGTTCATAGGTATATTTATTTCTGAGCTCTCTGTTCTGTTCTATTGGTCTGTATATCTGTGTTTATGCCAGTGATCTATTGTTTTTATTACTTTACCTTTGAGATATATTTTGAAATCAGGTCACTTGATGTCTCTAGCTTTGTTTTTATTTCCCAAGATTACTTTGGCTGTTGGAAGTCTTTTGTGATTTCATATTAATTTTAGAAGACTTTTTCTCTTCTAAAATTGCATGCTACTCACAGTAATTCACAAATTCAATGTAGTTGGGATTTTGCTCGAGATTGCATTAAATTTGTGGATTACTTTGGGTAGTATGGACATTTTAACAGCATTTATATTAATACTTCCATACACGTGAGTACGGATGTTTTTCATTTGTATGTGCCTTTAATTTTCCGTATTGGCATTTTATAGTTTTCAGTGTAGAAATCTTTTCACTTCATTGGTTCTATTAAGATATCTTTTTGTTCCTATTATAAATGGATTGTTTCCTTCATTTCCTTTTCCTTTTAATGAAAAGTACAGTTCATTTTTACATGCCAATTCTGTATCCTGACACTTTTCTGAATTATTCTGACAGTTTTCTTTGTCTCTAGTTTTTCTGCATATAGAATTGTTATCTGCAAATACAAGTTATTTTATTTCTTCACTTAAAGTTTGAATGCCATTTATTTATTTTTCTTATCTGACCATCTCGCTATAATATACAGTATTAGATTCTAAACAACTGGCAAGAGTGAGCATTCTTACTTAGGCCTTAGAAGGAAAGCTTTTCATTTCCCCCACAATGATTATAATGTTAGCTGTGGACTTTTCCTACACAGCATTTAACATGGGATCTATTACCTCTGTACCTAGTTTGTTGAGAGTTTAACTATCAATATTGAGTTTGAACATGTAGTTTTACCTTTTCTTCTGTTAGTATGGTATATCACATTGATATGCCTTTGTCACACCATTATTATTTTCCAGGGTTAAATCCACTTTTTAGGGGTGTATGATCCTTTTAATATGCTGCTCAATTCTGTTTGCTAGTATTTTACTGAGGATTTTTCCATCTATGTTCAATAGGAATGTTGGTCTATCATCTTATTTTCTTGTGACATCTTTGCTATTTGATATTAGGGTGGTGTTGACCTCATGAAATGAGTTCAGAAGTGTTCTTTGTTGTATTTTTTGGGAAAAAAAGTTGGTGTCTTTCTTTGATTGTTTATTAAAATTCACCCACAAAGACCAGTTACTGGTCTTTTCAGGATTTGTATTTCTTCTTGCTGTCAATTTGCAAAGTATAGTGTATTTCTTAGAATTTGTTCATATTTTCTGGATTATCTAGTTTTTTGCCATATTATTATTCATAAGAATCTCTTTGATACTTTTTATTTCTGAGTATCTTTTATAATGTCTCCTCTTCTCATTTTATTGGAGTCTTCTCTTTATTTTTCTTAGTCTTCCAATTTTGTTTATGGATTTAAAAGACTGGTTCTTAGTTTTGTTGAAATGTTTTCTATTGTTTGAATCTTTATATAACTTTCTCCTGTTGAAGTCTTTATTACTTCCTTCAGTTTAACTTTTGACTGACTGTTCTGGTTCCTTCAGGAGTAGTTAAGGTATTTATTTGACTACAACTTTTAAAGTAGGCATTTATTGTTGTAAACTTTTAGTACCATATTTGCTGGATTCTGTAGATTTAGATGTGTATTTGTTTTTATTTGTCTCAGCATATTTTTTTAGTTCCTTTATTCAATGGTTTTTCAACTGTGTGTTGTTTAGGATGTGTTAATAGTCTAGTTCTCTTGGTGGTGTTCACTTACAGTTTGATTCTATTGTGATTTGAAAGATTCTTGAATTATTTTACTCTTTTAAAGGTTAAGAATTCTTTTCTTACCTACTGTGTGAT